TTACTATGCAAGTGTAGTGGACTAAACATTGTGCAAAAAATAGTACTTTACTAACTTACATACGTCTATTGCTGAGCACACGTTTCTAACAACAGGTTTACGCTTAATTTGACTTATCTACACACGACAACTTTCTGTGTATGGGTTTATTACATGGTGAAATTAAAAATAATTAACATCCGTTGAACCTATTAAGGTTCTTACTTCCTAATAATATCTACTCATCTAAAGAAATATTTTAGAAGAGTTTAAATTAGCAATAGTGTAAAACCATAAAAAATCTTACCTAAATAAACAAAGTATCAAGATTAGTCGCCTTGCGTACGCGATACGTAATCGTAGCGAAGTTGCAAGCCTTTGGCGGCAACTTTAGCGGCAAAAATATCACCTTTGATTTTCGCCGCCAGCATTTGATTTTATACATCGTGATGTGGAGTAGTGGTTAATGTTAGACTCGTTTCGGAGGTCGTGGATTCGATTCTCATAGTTGACTGGCTCTATGGTGTAGTTGTTAGAGCGTTAGGTTTTCTTTTTGGATGTCGTAGATTTGATTCCCATAGTCGACTGCCTCCATAGTCTAGTGGTTAGAGCGTTAGGCTTTCGTTTCGGCGGTCGTGGATTTGATTCCCATAGTCGACTGCCTCCATGGTGTAGTGGTTAGTGTTAGGCTTTGTTTTCGGAGGTCGTGGATTTGATTCCTATAGTCGATTGCCTCTATGGTGTAGTGGTTAGAGTGTTAGGCTTTCGTTTCGGAGGTCGTGGATTTGATTCCTATAGTCGACTGCCTCCATGGTGTAGTGGTTAGTGTGTTAGGCTTTCGTTTCGGACGTCGTGGGTTTCCGATGGGTGACTGCCTCCTTAGTGCAGTATATCCGTAATCACCCAGTCAGTTCTTGCGTTGTGTGGAAGTGGTACGGGTGATGGTCAGAGTTATGTTTACAAACAAAGGCGTATGCAGTGCAACGTTGAAGGTCGTAGATACGTAGGATATAGGTATTCGATTAATGTGTGTGTAATGGTGTAATTTGTATCATGAGAAGGGTTTTATTTTAAAAGGATGGTAATAATTTTAATTTCGTCCTGTATGTACATTATGAAAACGTTACCCTATATTCCAAAATTTGCGTTTCAGTCGGCGTCCTTTGATGTGCCGCCGCTGAGGCAGAGGCACTATTTTTTTATTTTTTGTAACAGTGTGTAATTGCCGTTTGCGTTGTGAGGACTAAATAGGTGTCATCGTTTTGTTTGTGTCTCGTTTTTGTGTTTATTTAAACTATGTCACGCTTAAGCAATAGTGATTACTATGAGATGATGTTGTGCGTAGGCGCAGCCGATGGGAGCTTGCGCCAGCCTCGCCAAATTTATTGGGCAAAGTTTATTGATGGCGTCCCAGAAAATCGACGTCGACCATTTCCTACTCTGGAATGCTTCAGGAAGATGGTTATGAGACTT